ATTATTATTATTATTATCTCTTTTTGATTATGAGTTTCAAATCACCGTTTTTCTTCGAGTGTACCTTAGTATTGCTCCACATTGTTGCGAATTTGACGATGTTTTTGCATGTTCACTTGGTCTCAATGCGGCCTCAACAATTCGTAAACATATTCGGGTTATTTCCCTTTGAATGCCGCCTCTAACTCTAGCTGTGAAGTTTGGCCAGCTAAAAAGTCACGCGATAGCTAAGAACAACACACACGCACACTCAAACTCACACACACACGCACACGCACAAGCACAGAGGCGAACGCACGCACACGCGGCGTTAACAGTTCCGTTATTTGCCACGGTTTGCTTTTAGCTAGCGCAACGAAGTACCGTTAGCCAGCGCTGCCAAAATTGACTAACGCAGCTAACAACTGTTGTTTGCCACGCTGACGGTTTATTATTTATTATGCTGGCGGCGTTGCCAGACTACGAACAGAATACGTTAGCTTAGCACGCAGACTCTCAGCTTTTAAGAGAGCGAAAGAGATGAGCTTCGATGGTGTGGCTTTGTTGCTGTTGCTGTTGCGGCTTGGATTTTTTTATGAATGAGCGCCAATTAGCCAAGTTGGCGGGCCATGCTTTATTATCGTCATTATGACTATTATTATTATTATTATTATTTTGCGAGACGGCCATAGAAATTGTATTAGCCAGCTTTGCTTTAAACGCAAATTGATTGCGAACATATTTTATGACGTTTGTCGAGTTAGCCGCATGTGAGCGGAAAGCAAGCATCCTCCAGCACATCGAGTGGATTTTCTCGTTACATGTGTGTGTGTGTGTGTGCGTTTTCGTGTGTGTGCTAAGCTGTTGTAAGCTCTATTTGCCTGAAAATATTGTCTTTGTAAATGCGATATGTGGCATGCTCAGCCAAGCTCAGGTGTGTCACCTCGGTGTGTCTCTCGCTTTTTGTATTTTATTTTATTAGCATACTTTTGTGCGTAGCGCGCATTGTTTACGCACATTTCATTGTTTATTCTCTGAGATATTTCCTCTCCGACCGAAATCAAGAAATAAAAAAAAAAGCCGCAACCTTCGATAAAAATAAGGCAAGTACTCTCCACAGGATCAGGCGCTTTAAGTGGAATTTAATTTCAGCAAAGTCAAAATTGTTTGCCAAGCCCAGTAATCCAATGCGGTTAAAGTGTATCACACTCTTTTCTCCGGCTGTCTATCCAGTGTGTGAGTATGTAAGTGTGTATGTACCAGTGTCAACAAAGGGCCTTAAAGCGCCATTTTGTCAGCTTGGGCAAAGTGGCATTGGCCTGCGTCTGTGTGCGCCGCCCATGAAACCGCTCTATCTGAGGTTTTCTCAAGTTGCGCTACCCTCTCCAATCATGGCAATGCGAGTTAGTTAACCCAAATGACATGATAAATAACAATAATCGTTTCTATAAAATATTTTAGGTATATTTCTAAACAGCTTTCACTTCGACCAGCTTTATATAGTACCTCAAAAATGGGTTCACTAACCCAAAGCAATTTCCCAAGAAATTTACTTGCCTAGAAATTGAAATTGTCGGACTGTAGGGTATTAAAGTAGGCGTAGCTATGTTCGGGCTATTTGGTTTTCTGGCTTTCCCCTTAGATTTAGGTCGATTGCCGTTGTTTCTTTTGTTTTTTACGTCGCTGGCAGACGGCAGTGAATGTCTCTGGGCCTTTTATGGAAGGTGGCATAAAAAGCAAAAAAAAAAAAAAATTACAAATAACAAAAGCAAAAAGAAACGCAAAAAAGGAAAAATGGAAAGTAAAATTTTAATTTTCAAATTTTCTGTTGCTGAGCTGATAAATCAGGACCAGATGGAATTGAGTTACGTTTTAATTAATTCATTTTGTTGTCATAAATGCCATAAATTCAAATAGAGCAGAGTTGAAAGACATGGAACTTGTGCGCTCTCTGCCTCTGCCTTGCACTCAGAGTTGAGGAGGGAAAGGCATTTTGTGTGTGTTTAGCCAACGACAAAGCTGCACTTTGTCGGCTCTAACGAGTTCTTTGTCTGGAACGTAGCTAAAAACGAAATCAATTAGAGAAGGAATCTCTTAAGGCAGCATTCTAGCTTTGAATTCAAAGAATATTTTACAGTTCATGCAGCTAGTATTATCTCTATTATAGCAAGTTCTCAGCTATTTAAGGAACTAACGAGCTCGAGGCTTGGTCAAATGCAGATAAACCGAATTAATTTACTACATTCTGGTTCTGTTGTCTTGCATAAATATGAGAAAGCAGGTCGATGTAAGGTGGGGCAAGTCAAACACAGGGCACGCCTTTGAAATTTGTTTTCCTTGTGGAAAGCTGCGGAAAAGTGTTGCATGTTGTTGAGCGCTACAACAAAATGACAGCCGCAACATAGCAGAATAAAAAAAAAACACGCAGTGAAGTAAAATGGAAAAAAATGGGGAAAAAGGGACCAACAGGAGCATCCTCAAAGCAAAATACCAATTAAGTTACATGTTGCTTTTAAATTGCCTTGGCAAAGTTTTATCGCTGCAAGCGCCACATTTTCTGAGTGGTTTTAAAGCGTGTTTCAAATACAGCAGCATCAGTAGCAACAGCAGCAGCAGCAATTGCATTTGCCATGCTCCACTCGGTAAATATAAAAAGAAATATTGTGTACAATGCTGCGCCCTAAATCCAGTTGAATATATCGAAACATGAAAATCCTATCAAATCCAAGCCACATCCAGAAGGAACACAACACACAACTCTTTCTCACACCACATATTGATTTTGCTAGAATCCGGCGTTGTTGTAAGCAAATTCGTTTTGGGAATTGTTGAATCAATTGGACCAATGTGAGGCGACTGTGGGAATTCCGAATGCTGTTGCCCATCACACGTTCAACTCCAAAGACAAGCAGAACACATAAAAATACCAATGAAACAATTTGTAATATTGCTTCGTATTTTTTTTTTTTTGCTTTCTCGCTCTTTTTTTCCATATCAATCAAATGCTACAATTTTTGCACTACCCTATAGCAATTTGATAAGTACTTTTGAGGTAGATGCTTTTCATAGTCGACTTGACTTACCGAAGAGAGTTATAATCTAAAGCGTACATATAGGTTTAATCTAATGTGAACTCGTGTAAAATCTGAAATGTCATTTAAGGAAAAAACACGTTTTAAAATATGGAAAAAAGTTAAGGTTAAGATTTCTGTATTTCTTTTTAATGGCATGGTATCTCATATAAAAATGTTTATTGACCTGCTCTATAGATAGATAGACATAGACACAGCTATGCCATATATCAGAAAGTTGATTATATTTTCTTTCGATATTTATTTATTTTTTTCGTTTGTTATCTCAGACCATAAAAACCAGGGTATTTGATAGTCACACACCCGGAGGCAAGCCGCGTCGCTTCTCTTTAAGCGCAACTGTAGCCATGCCTATTGTATATTTAATCAACAGAGTATGTAACAAGCGAAAAGCTCTGTAAAATTTGGTAAAATCAATCAATAAATGGAATATGAATTGATGTACGCACGATTAAACAGAAAGTCTGGCGCATACAATTTTTGACAGCGTGTCGCATGGCCTTAAAGTGTTAAATGAGCTGATGTTGTCAAGATAATTGCATTAATTAGCAGCTTATGGCGCATAAATGCGAATGCATAAGCGCCAGCCAAGCCCCCATTTTATTACAGCAAAATAAACGAACCGAACTAAATCCTAGAACGGAGCGAAACAGTTCAACAAATTCGTTCACTTTTCAATTTTATTCAGCAACTGTTTAACAATGCCAAAGTTGAAATGAAATCCGCTTATTGTAAATGCGTTGAATTTTTTACAATCACCATTTACATTCAATGGACTTAATTACATTTAATATTAATGCCAGAGAGAAGTCCTCTCTTTTTTTGCGGCGTCACCGTAAATTTAATATGAGTAATTAAAGTTTGCAGTCGGGCGTGCTCAACTAGCAGATACTCAGTAAATGAATAGTTTTCTTGGAAAAATGAGTATAAGCTGGAACTTTACTGTTTATTGGCAAAATGCTAATGCTGCTCCAAATAAAATATAATTTTTAATAAAAAATATTGTTCTAATGCAGTTGCCGAAGTTCTTAAATTTGAAATCAAAACAAAAATTTGAATTCCTAATTTTGCACCTGCCTCAACTTGAATGTAAATTTAATCAAAACTATATTCTTTTCTAAAATTGAGAGAAGAAATGTTTTGAGCTGTAAATACTTAAAGCTCTATCAAATAAAAATGGATGATAAAAGCATATTACTTTTATTTGCCATACATAAGACCTCTTTGGAATGCCAAACTATTCCAATTTTTACCGTCATTACCAAAAGTTGAATTCATTTGCAAAATTAATGCCTGCTTTTATCTGAAAGTAACTGTAATTACACCCCATCAAAATTTTACAACTTGACATTTATATGCAATGCATTCAACCCGAAAATACTGAAAATTGAGGCAAATAATTTGTTGTGGCACTGAATTTTCTACTCTGACTCCTTTGGCCAACATAATGATTGAAATTTTCCATTGTTGTTGTTGGCTATGGACTTTGGCAATGGTCACGTGAACGCCTAAAGTGGGGATAACCAAACAACAGGCCCCAATGGACAATAAATTGTGGGTGGCCGTGGCAATGGCGGTTTGCTGGGAGCAAACAAACCTTTTTATGGTCATGCTGTTATTATGTTATCTTCTTTGCACCACGATGGATAGAATTTGCTGTGGCGGCGGGCCGTCAGGCCGAAACACATGTCATAACAGCCAACAGCATATGTAATAATAAGCCACCGGCGGCGACAAACAAACGACTGCGACAACGACGTCCATAAAAAGCGATGCGAGCTTTGATAATAAAAGCCCGCAGAATTGTTAGCCATGGCTAACCCGTATCACACACGTAGTATACCAAAGTGGCTGTCGCTGTCATTGCTCAGTTGATTGCCTTAATGCACTAGAATCTCAATTCAGTGTGCCGGCAACCGTGAACTGGCATTTATAACATCAAATTGCTGTCCAGCTATCAATCTAGTTGTCATGTCATTAAAGACACTTATCGCAAATTTCAATGCACCCATCCATCCCATCGGCTGAATGCCCTCAATGCCCAAAACAGAAGCCACCCATGGCCACAAACACGCAATACTCGCACAACTTTCACATGCATAATTGAAAGGCCAGCTGAAACGGGCGAATCGAATGAGTTTTGTTTTTGTTTTGCTTACTGTGTTTAGCTCTTAAATACTTAATTTAGTGTGGCGACGCCATGCAGTTGTTAGTTTGCCAAACATGTTTTTTCCACACACACACATTGGYCGTAATTAAGATAACTAATATATTATTCATTCAAAGCTTAATAGTTCCCTTATATTTATTTATAT